ATACACATCTATATGTAAGTATATAATTCACCAGAGATCTAAAAGCAAAGAAAAACCATAAGCATTTTGCAAGCAACTTCTTAAGTTCCATGAAAAGATCATTGAGATTTGGCTTGGAGTTGCACCGGATTGAGGAAGCCACTTGACAGCTTTATGGTATTGAGTGTTCCAATTCATGAACATATGGCTTTTCTTTCATTTAGGGGTTCTTTAATGTTTTTAAATAAAGTTTTATAATTTTACTCAGAAAAGTATAGTACATCTTTTGTTAGCTACCTTATACATTTGTTGCTATATAAAAGTATTTTTAAATTTTCTGTTTGTTGCTGATGCATAGAAATGCAATTGACCTTATAAGAATTGATCTTATTTCTGGCAACTTTGGTAAATTTTCTTATTAATTTTAGTGATTTGTTTAACATTGTTTTGAGTTTTCTATGTAAGACAATCATAATAGCAACAAATGAAAGGTTTATTTTTTCCTTATCTTTAAACTCTTGTTTTTCTTTTCTTTTTTATTATACTAGGACATTCAAGACAATGACTAATAGAATCTGTAATAAAGGGCATCCACGACTTGCTCCTGGTTTAATGCAGGAGTTCGCAAACTATGACCTCTGAGGCAAATCGTGCTGTTTTTATATGACCCACAAGCTAAGAATGTTTTTTGCTTTGTGTTTTTGGTTTTGTTTTTTTTTTTCAATTTTAAGTGTTTGAAGAAAATTAAAAGAAGTATACCATTTATCACATGTGAAGATCATATGAAATTCAAATTTCAATGTTTATAAAAAAAAGTTTTATTGAAACATGGCCACACTCATTTGATTACAAATTTTACACAGCTGCTTTCTCTCTACATCAGCAGAGTTGAATAGTTGTGACAGAGATTACATAATTCACAAAGCCCAAAATATGCTATCTAGCCCTTTTAAGGAAAATTTTGCCAACCCCTGGTTAAATAGAATGCTTTTAATTTTTTATCATTGAGAATGATTTTTGTGTGTTTATGTGGATACCTTTACCAAGAAATGGAAGTTCTCTTCTATATCTATTTTGCTGAGTTTTTATGATGATTGGATGTTGATTTTTACTAAATGTTCTATTTGCAACTATTGAGGTAATCATATTTGTCTCCTTATTCTGTTAATGTGATGAATTTATGAATAGATTTTCTAATCTTGAACTAGCCCTGCTTTCCAGAATGAGCTCATTTAGTCACGATTTTTACACGTGTTGGATTTAGTGTGCTAAATTTTTATTTAGGATCTTTGTATCTATGTTCATAGATGAGTTTGGTTTTAAAACTAGTTTCTTGTACTGTTCTTGTCTGGCTTTGCTATAAAGGTTTATGGTCATAAAGTGAGTGGGGAGAGAATTCCCTATTTTTCATTCTCTGAATGAGTTTGTATAAGATTGTAAATCTTTTCTCCTTGAATATTTGGTAGAATCCACTTCTAAAACTTGATTCATTTTTTAAAAAACAGTTTTCAGTAAAAAAAAACTTTAGGACTGTGTTGGTTTTCAGAGTGTTGCCTAATTTATTGGTTTAAAGATGTTCATAATATTACCTTTTTAATAACTACAGCAATTACAGTGATGTTCCCTTATTCATCCCTGATATTGAGTATTTGTGCCTTCACTCATCTCTTCATCAGTCTTAAGCAGAGGTTAGTCAATTTTATCAACCTTTTAAAATACCCAACTTTTGGTTTGTTGATACTTTCTATTTTTATTTCTGCTCTTTATTTCTTTTCATTTATTTTCTTCAAATTTATTTTGTTGTTCTTTTTTTAACTTCAAAAGTTGAAAAATTAACTCTACATTCTCAGCCTTTCTTTTCTCTAATATCAACATTTAAAATCTATAAACTTCCTTTTAAGTACAGCTTTAGTTGAATCCCTCAAGTTTTTATATGAAGTATTTCATATAAAATTATCATTCAGATCCAAGTAGGTTTTAACTTCCATTAAGATTTCTCATTGGGCCCATGAGTTATTTGCAAACTTAAAAAAATTTCACAGATAAAACATTTTTGTTTTTCAGATATATTTTGTTATTGATTTCTAATCTGCTGGCATTGCAGTCAGATAATGTAGTCTGACATAATTTTTTTTTTACTTGTTGAGTTTTTTTATGGCCTTGTATATGGTCATTTTTGTAAGTTTTCCATGTACTCTTGTAATGAATGTGCATGCTCTCTCCAGTTGTTGAATGCAGTGTTCCATGAATGTCAGTTATATGAAGTCTGGTAATTATTTTGTACAAAAGTTCCATATCCTTGATGATTTTTTTGTCTGCTTGATCAATCAACTCCTAAGACAATTGCGTTAAAAATTTCCCACCATGTTGGTGAATTTGTCCATTTTTCCTTATGGTTTTGTCAATTTTTGCTTTATATGTTTTGAAATTTGTAATAGGGCACACAAATTACATCTGTTATAGCTTCCTAACAGAATAAACAATTTGTCAATAGATATTGATAATTTCTTACCTCTAGTATGTTTTTTGCTTTAAAATCTACTTATCTGTTACGACTATCACTACAAAAATATTTTGATTAAACCAAAGATTTGGTTTTATTTTTTTCTATAATTTTGTTTTCATTCTCTCTCTGTGCTTCTATTTTACATGTGCCTCTCATCCACAGTGAATAGCTAGATTTTTTTTTAATCCACTCTTAACTGGAATATTTAACCCATTTACATTTATTGTGATTATTGATATATTTGTGTTACTTTATACCATCTTAATTTGTGATTTCTATTTGTCTTATCTTTTTCTTTTTTTGTCCCTCCTTCTTGGCTTTTTGTGGATTGTCTGAATTTTTCCTATTCCAATATTCCCCTTCTTTAGAATTTAGACTATTTATAGAAACTTTCTCATTCCATTTCCCCCTTCTTTAGAATTTAAAGACTCTATTTCTAGAAATTTTAACATGTAAAGTTAACCTAACAAAATCTAAAGTTAATATCTTTACTGTGATATAATTCACTTATTAATGAGCTCACCCACTCCTTGGCACTTGCCTGTGTTCACATAGGCACAGTTTTGTGTTCTGAAGAAATCTACCACCACCAAACAATCTGTGATTCCCAATAGTTTAGTAAAGCTATGCCCATGATTATGCCCCATCCAGGGACTTGCAGGAGCCAATAGTAGAAATAGGATTTCAAATGTAGACTCAAAAGTTTTGGAGATAGGAAATACATTCCCCCTTGATTCCTTCAAGCCCCAGAGCCCTCCCACATGCCTCCTATGTATGTTTCCACACTTTGAGCCATTTTGAATCTAGGGAGGATTGCCAATACCTTCATAGATGTCAAAGCCAGTGTTTTGGAAGGTCCCAGGGGCTGGTCCACCATTCTCTTCATGCCACTTGTACAACTGAGACACTTTGGACTTTTGTCTATTGATAGAAACACCAGAGAGACTCTGTTATGCCCAGGGAACAGGAACAAAGACATTGGGACTAGCTATGTTTCTGCTTTCGTCTCCCTCTCTGTCCACCCTTAAGATGGAATGGTGGAGGACAGGGATCAGAAAAGGAGGAGGAGCTAGAGGAAAAAGAAGAGGAGGCAGCAGTGTCTCACCTTTTTGCCTCTCTCTTGGAGTGGAACATGAACACTGAAAGGACAACAAAGGCAACCAGCACCACTGCTCCTGCTGCCCCCACCAGTCCATATACCAGGCTCTTCTGAGTGCTCAACTCACAGGCTTCTCCATGGTACCAGTGAGTATCTGTGTTCAGGCAGCTGAGATGGGAGAGAAAGGGCAGGTGGAGAGAGAGAGCAACCCAGAGTCAGTGATACAGCCAATGCCCCAGCCTCCCAGCCTCAGGACCAGGCCCTGACCCCCTGGATATTAGAGGATGAAGAAGAGATTGCTGGGACGCTGAGCCAGGACCCCTGAGGGAATGGACAAGGATGAAGTCCAGCTCCAGGAGGATGGTCCTTAAACAGGCCTAATATACAGCACTGAGCCTTTAGGTTTTGTCTCCAGTAACAACCCAGGAAGAGTTGGCCCAACTCTGGGGCTCCCCTTGGCTTACCCCAGGGACTTAAGGACCCAACAGTGACCCTTCCACCCACCCATTAACCATACTCATTTTCAGCCTCCCTCTCTGTCAGGAGAAACAATCCCCCATCCCAGATACAGAGCACATGGTCCACCTCTGAAGCTCTTCCTACCTCCCCCGACCCCATGCCCTTTCTAAGCTCTGTTCCTTTCCTCCTCTTGCCAACTTGTGAACTTCCGAGAAGCCTTCCCGGAATAACTAATCAGGCTTTTGCATAATGTGTGACTTTTCCCCACATCTGGTGTTCAGCCGGTCTCTCTTAGGTTCAGTTACGGTTGGTAATGCCTTTCTTTGCTTTCCTACTCCTGGCTTTCCACCCTCCCCATATGGGTGCGACCGTCTTTCCCCATTCTACCAGCAGGGGTGCTGTTATTTCCTGTAAGCAAGGGTCTGCATGCCCTGTCTGATTGGGAGCTTCCAGATTCTGTGGCCTCTCTTATGCTTCCTGGGGAGCTTGTCACAGTCCTCAGCCTGGCTCAGCACAAAGAGGACACCTGGGAGGGCAGCTGCTGAGCCACCATTGGCCTTTTCTGGACCTGGCCTTGGGGGCTCTTGCTATGCATGTCTTCCCCAAATTTCTTTGTGGCTGGGTGCAGTCAGGAGTGGCCAGGATACAGTCCCTAACCTTGACCTCTAGGCAGAGTCTTGAGTGGTGGGGTCTTGCAAGGGGAGGGAACAGCTGGGTGAGTGGGTACTCACTAGCACCGAGGACCACTGCGCTCCAGCTGGCACTTCCCGTTGTGGCAGTCCATCGAGGTATTGAAGCCAACCATGCAGGCAGTGATGCACTTTGGCTTCTCATCCTGGTATTCCAGGAAGAAGTATTGGGCAAGACCTTCCCCAGCTTCCCTGGCCTTCTCCTGGCACTCAGCTGAGGGGCGTGGAAGAAGGGCCATGAATAAATGGCTGGGAGCTCTACCCAGGCTCATCCCTTCCCCACCCCCCATCCTTCCTGAAGCATACCTTCAGGGTCGTAGGTATATTCAGTCTCTCCCACCTTGGTGGTATTTTCCTTGAAACACAGTAAGGCTGAGAAGGAAACACATTAAGCCTTTTACAGTGAACTTGTTTAGCATCCTCAGAGACTGAGGTGTGAGTGAGAGAGAAGGGAGTGGGACTGTGATGGGGGAGGTGAGGAAATGGTCCCTGCAGAGGGGAAATGCCAGGTCTCCAGAATGATGACACTTCAGGTGTCCTGTACCCTCCCTTTTGTCCCTTTTCTTCCCCACCCACCTCCAGCAAGATCCCCACACTTTGCTTATTAAGTCATGCTCATCTTGATTTTCCTGGGATTCCCTGTCTCTTTCCACTTTGTGCTGGCACCCTGGACTCAGCATGTGTGCATAACTAGCTTTGCATCCTCCATTCAAAACCTCTCCTTGAACTGCCCGTTCAAGGACCCTCAGCTTTCTCCTACTTTCCCCATCTGCCTTCTTCCCCTCTCCCTGGCCCAGGGATGACATGGGTCAGAGAATCACTTCATCTCCCTCCCCTGTAGTCTAGGAATTTACCTGAGCAGTTATTATCAATGCTTATTTGCTTGTTGGTTACATTCGTGATTTTTTCCTTCACCTCTTTGGTGGCCTTCTTGAATACTTCCTTGTATTCTGGGGTGAACTTGCTCCTCAGGAGGACTTCATGCTCCACCACCACACTGCCACGCCTGAGGAGAGAGGAGAGGTCCTTGGGCATCCTCCCAGGTCAGAAGTTGTGCTCACCTGTCTGACCCCTTCCCCTCTCTGCTCCTATGGGAAGGCAGGGCTGGGGGAGCGGATTTAAAATGATGACTCCAGTGTTTAGTGAGTGAATGATCTGTCAGGCATTGGGCTAGGCACTTCACATATAGTACCTCATTTAATGACCTGAGCCTAGGAGGACTGTTCTGCAAAGGTTAGGCTCTGGGAGCCCTAGGTGGGAGTATCAGGGATAAAGATGGAGAGAGGGATGGGGCCCATGGGAGAGATCATCCTTTGGGTGTCACAGACATATTCAAACAGAAGAAGATTGGGCAGCTGGCAAGGTGTCTCTAAGGGGTCTTCAGATGAGGGGTAGGAGGTTACTCCAGGGACTCTTAGCGGGGTTTACATCTCTTGTGATCAGAGGTGGACTGCACTGGGCTGTCTACACCACTGTGCTGTCTGTGAATCTCAAAAACTGTATGCAAACTTTTGGAGGTGCATATTTGCATTTTTTTAATCACACGCCTTTTGTCTATGACCCCTAAAAAGCTAAAATTCCAATTAACAGTCTCTCCCAACTCCAAGGTTCTATGTTTAGGAAACCAAGGCATTCTCACAGTGCCTTGCTCCTTTCCTTCCTTTCCTCTTCCCTAACTCCCAAACACTAGTTAGAATAGTCCATCTTCAGTGTTTCTTAAAAGGAATAAAAAATACGTTTGAGTTAAAAAGCTCATTTTCCAGAATGCAAATAACTTCTTTCTCATAGGCGTAAGGATTATTTGCACCCCCAGTAGCAAGAACTTTCTGGATTTAAAGATAGCAACTAGTCCCGTCTTCCTTGTGCTCACAATTCAAGATTCCTAAATACTCAGGTCAAAAGCTCTCTCCTTCCTTTGCTTTCTCCTCAATGCTATATTCAGAGGCTCAAATAGAAACAGCAGATTTGAGGGCCACTCATAGAATGTTAGAGTTGGAAGATCTTCTAGTTCAAGGCCGTTTTTCACAAATAAGGAAGCAGAGATCCCAAGAAATCTACTTGGTGGTGGGTCTCCAATATCACACAGGTCAGTCTGTCACTGTCCTCAGCTTCTGTTTTGAGAGCTCCAGTGGAGAAATTTAGCTTTATCGAGGCTGTGCTGGTGTAGTGGGAGTTAGCAGATTAGGGTGATATACTGGCACTGCCCTAAATAGCAGTGGGATCTTGGGCCAATCAGTTAACCTCACCGTACCTCAATTTCTTCATCTATAAAGGAAGGTCTGGACTACTGTTCTGGATTGAATTGTGTCCCCCAAAAGCTTATGTTGAAGTCCTAACCCCTGTATCTGTAAATATGTCCCTGTTTGGAAATAGGGTTATTTTTTTGTCATGTTAATAAGGTCATTTAGGTGGGCCCTAAACCTAATCCCTTCTGAGTGGTGTCTTATAAAAAAGGCAGAATGGACACAGACTGATACAGGGGGGAGATACCATGGGAAGAGAGAGGTTGATGAATCTACAAGCCCAGGAACACCAAGGATTGCTGGCAGCTACTAGAAGCTGAATGAGATGAAGAAGGACCTTCCCCTAGAGTCGACACACTGCATTTGGACTTCTAGTCTCCAGAACTGTGAGAAAATGAGTTTCTGTGGCATCTACTGTGACATTTTTTGCTACGGCAGTACTAAGAAACTAAGACAAATAGATGGTTCCTAGGGCTCCTCCTTCCGTGACTCAAAGCAGATGATTCTCACTTCTTATCTGCCAACTCCCAGACCTCTCTAGAACCACTCTGGGGAAAATTGCTTTTCTGCTGTGTGTTTTCCAGGAGCCCGAAGAGCCCAGCTCTCTCCTCCTATCTGGCCTAGAGGAAGTAGAGTAGATGGAAGAGCTAGCAACATCTTGACAGATCTAGGGCTCTTAGTAAAATCTGAGAGGACAGGTGCGGGGGGGTCAGTGAGGGGGCAGTGCCATGGCTGAAGACAGAGTCATCAAGGGAGAGCAGCCAGGAATGCCTTCAGGCTGACTGCTGAGGCCAGGAACATAAAGTCCCCTGGCTCCAAAGAGCCCTGTCCTCTCCATCTCCCTCAAGAGACAAGGGATGGCAGGGCAGAGGAAAAGGACAAGGACTAGCTTTACAGGGGCAGGAGCCAGGAGACCCCGGAGAGGGGCAAAAGGGCCCTGTATGGTCAGCATAGGGAGAGGAAGTTTTAGGGCCAGAAAGAAAAATGCTTCTCTCGTCCAGGGAAGCTGAGCTGCTAAGGGGCAGAGAAGCAGTGCCCTGCCCCGAATCCAGGGCTGGTTGGGGCACCACGCTGTGAGCCTGCACTGGAGGGGCCTGGGATTCCCACCAAAATCCTACCTGGGGTGGCCTCTCTTGGCAAGAGAGGGTTTTGTGTTAGACAGAACTAAGGGAGGAGGAGGAAAGGAGGCTGGTAAACTCATTTTTTTTTTTTTCTTCTGTGCTTTTGGTGCTATTTTATTTCCACTTGGTTATAAGTTCATTCTGGAAATGATCAATCAGGACTCTGATAAACCATGAGAAAAAGATTTCCCTCACAATTCAGAGGCTGCTGGGAGGACCCATGCAAGCCTATTGGCCAGCACCATTTAAAAGATTTCTTAAAGTTGGGGTCAATAATAGGGGAAGATTCAGTGGCAGCAGAATCTGATCCTAGGTGAGTGAAATTGGATACAGAACAACTTTGGACTTGGACAGCTTTTTCCCTGGGGCTTTCCTACACAAGTGAGCCTTTGCATGCTGAATTATTTGGCTTCATCTCTGAGGACAAATGGGGCATCCATCATATAAGCGGTAGTTCCCAGATTTTCTCATTTGTTGATCTGTCTCTAGCATAACGGGACTTTTGTTTGAGTCTTGGCATTACCTGTTATGGATTGAATTATGTCCCCTAAAAAGATGTGCTGAGGTCCTAATCCCTGGTACCTGGCTATCTGTGAACGTGACCTTGTTTGGAAATAGGGTCTTTGAAGATGTTATCAGTTACCATGAGGTCACACTGGAGTAGGGTGAGTCCTACTCAGTTTGAGTGTTGTCCTTATAAAAGAGAAGAAGAGACAGAGAAACAGAGGAAGGATACCATGTGATCCTGCAGCTGCAAGCCAAGAATTGCCAGGAGCCACCAGAAGCCAGGAGAGAGGCACAGAACAGATTCTTCCTCAAAGCCTCAGAAAGAATCAACAGTGCCAACACCCTGATTTTGGACTCACAACCTCCAGAACTGTGAGACAATGAATTTCTGTTTTCTAAAGCCACCCACTTTTTTATATTTTGTTATGCCAGCCCCAGGAGGCCAGTATACTACCACTCTATAACTGACTCCTCGGACAATTCATTTCATCTCTCTGAGTTTCCATTTCTTCACCTGCACAGTGGGAACAGTCCTTCCTACTGATCTGTCTTACAGGGCAGTTATAAGCCTTCAATGGGAAAATGTATGCAAAACTATCATTGTTGGAGGGCACAGTTATAATTATCTTTATAGTTATTTATATAATTATTTTTATGACTATTGCTTCCACTTCAAAAACCCTCTTCTTAGGAGCCCCAGATACTCACGTTAGCCTTGTGATGTTGACACCTTCATACTCAGAGATTCCAGAATAAACAAGGTTCATCTGAAAGGCAAGGGGGCCGTTCTATTATCCCACAGTTCCCACCTGGGACTTGCCAGGCCTTTCTACAGACTCTAAGGAAGGCAGAGGATGGACCACCCTTTCCTGTAGCTCCCCTGGTCCACCCCAAGCTGGCAGTAGCATGCTGTATGAATGGAATGATCTCTACCCAGATACCAGCCCCACCCCTGGGTCCCCTGCAGCCCCCCGTGGAACCTTACTTTGGCCCTCTCCTCCCTCTCTGGCAAGTGTTGAGGACATTGGTGAGCTGAGAAGCTCACACACATTTAGTAAGAGAAGGGCCCTCAACTTCTTTCTTAACCCCAAGAGACTCCTCTATGGGGGAAATGAGTGGTCATGGGGCCCTTGTTCTCCCAGCCTCACCTGTTTTGTAAATGTGTTGTTGAATTTCTGGAAATCTGGGGAAGACCTGTTGTTTAGATCTTCAGTGAAATCCTCACTGGTTACTGTCACAGATAGTTCCACCTGGGCAGTGACTATCTCCGGTGGAGGTTCTGAGAGGGAGTTGGACAGCAGCACTGAGTACAACATCCTTTCTGAGTCCCCAGCCAAGGAGACTCACAGCCCCAGCAACTCCACCCCGGGTGGCGGATGGCAGGAGCAACCCACAGCCCCTACCCCGACCCTCTGTCCCAGGGCTTCTAACTTTCTCACCCAAGTGTCCCTGGAGGGAAAGAAGAGTACACTACTCCCAATGGCTTTGTAATGAAGCCCAAGAGACCTCAGGGTCTTATATTTGATTATAGAATGCAACATAAGTTTTGCACTCTTCTCCATAACATACCCGTTTATTTAAGTGTATTTCATTTAGATCTGTGCCAAACGTGTTTTATTCCAATATAACAATGTTTGGGTTTTTAGTTTTAAATTTCTTGGCACTAGGCAAAATTGCCCCTGGAAGAGGTCCCATTCATCCCTCTGCTCTGAACTGAGGCAGGAACAGGTGCCTGGCATGGAGGCTGGGCCCAGAGGAATGGGGGGGAAGGCCCTGCAGTCTCCGCTCACCAATCTCGATGTTGTCAACCAGCAGCTCACAACGGACCCCATAGTAGACGGAGGGGCACTGGCACTTGATCCCATCCCAGAAGCCTCCATTCTTGCAGATGTTTTCAGCATCCTGGTGCAGATTTCCTGTGAAGCCAATGGGGCATTCGCATACCATTCCATTCCAATTCCCTCCGTGGAAGGGACAAGGGACAAGGCCTTGCTCAACCACACGTTACAGCTTGCAACACGCTTTCACACACACTGTCTGTTGTGGATTGAATGGTGTCCCCCAAAAAGATCTTGCAACTTGTTTGGAAATAGGACCTTTGAAGCTATTAGTTAAGTTAACCTGAGGTCATAGTGGAGTAGGGTAGGTCAGAATCCAATCTGAATGATGTGCTTATAGAAGACAAGAGACAGAGAGACACACAGGGGGAGGACAGCCATGTGAAGATGAATCACAAGCCAAGGAATGCATGGAGCTACCAGAAGCTGGAAGAGACTAGGAAGAATCTTCCCCTAGAATGGACACAGAGAGTATGGCCCTGCCAATGCCCTAAATTAGGAGTTCTAGCCTCCAGAACTGGGAGACAATAAGTTTCTGTTCTTTAAAGCCATTTGCTTTGTGGTACTTTGTTAGGTAGCCCTAGGAAATTAAGACACTGTATAACTTGATACTCTTATAAAACCTGGGGGTAGGCAGGACAGTATCATTCCCACTATACAGATAAGAGAAGTGAGGCAGAGAGAGGCCAAGAGACCCATCCAAGATTCCACATGCAGCCAGACTTGCCCTGGTCTTGGAGTCCTAGTCTAGCATTCTTTGCATTAGATCCAAAAAAAAGTGAGGAAAGAGAAGCCTGGTGTTGTGAGAGGTGGTGGACAACACAGTCAGGGTTTAGGAAAACACAAGCAGAAACAGATACTGAGACCAAGCGAAACTCATTGGCGTCAAGTCGATTATGACTCATAGTGACCCTCTAAGGCAAAGTAGAACGGCCCCATAGGGCTTCCAAGGAGCAGCTGGTGGATTTGAACTGCTGACATTTTGGTGGGCAGCCTAGTTCTTAACCACTGTACCACCAGAGCTCCAGATACTGAGAGGACCCAGGTTAACTTGGCCTATCTAATTCCAACAAGCTTGGTAATGAGCATCGTTAGTATTCCTTCAACACCTACTACAGAAAAGCCCAATGCTGGAAGTTGTCACCATTGTAACTGTTTATGATTCCCTTTTTATTTGCTGGGAGTTAGAGTTTGAGGGAGGGGTGTAGGTCTTAGTTTCAATAAATAAGAAGTGGTTATGGACGGCTCCCAAATATCCATGCCAGTTAACCTGGAAAACCCAAAGCTGTTCTCTTTGGCTTTTCTTGAAAATAGTTGTGCCCATGTAGAGCAGTATTTGGAGTGTGACTTGTCTGGGGAGGCACATAGGCATGCGCATATCATGCACAAACCTGCCTCGCCCTCTGCCTCCTGAGTCTACCCCTTGCCAGACTGAGAGCCAGGGCCATGCCCATGACAGTCACAGCAAGCAGTCTCTGTTGACAGGCCTTTGGTCCAAGACAGTCAGAAACAATGGAATAGTTGTGTCAAGAGTCCTGGGCACACTAAAAACAAACAAACAAACAAGAACCCAAACCCACTGCCATTGAGTCGATTCCAACTCATAGCAACACTATAGGACAGAATAGAACTGCCTCATAGGGTTTCCAAGGAGCAGCTGGTGGATTCGAACTGCTGACCTTTTGGTTAGCAGCCGCTGGGCACACTGGGCACACTGAAGACCCATAAATCCTAAACCAGTCTCTGTCTCTTCTCTCATCTCTCTCTGCTCTTAACCTTCCCCTGACTCCTTCTCCTCATTTTTGTTTTCTTCCTCTCCGCCTCCTTCTTATCCTTCTCTCTCCTCTCTCTCTCTTCAATCCTCTCTCATCTCTCTCTTCTCTTCTCTCCTCTCCCTCTCTTTTCTTTCTCCTCTCTCTCCTCTCTGTCTGTCTGTCTGTCTCTGTTCTCTCTCACTCTCTTCTCTCTCTCTTCTTCATCTGAGAATAATATTCACAGGTATAGCAGTATAACAGTAGATGTGGGGTGGGGGGGAGGTTTTGGCCTATCATTCTAACCACAGTGAAAGAGCTGAGTGAAAGCTCTAGAGTCCAAGAAAAAAGGAGGGAATCATAAGGACAGAGAAACACTATGAGGCATGCAGGTAGAGTTCAGAGCTGACAAGTGAAAAAAATCTTTTACTCCCTATAGTGGGAGCTCAGGGAATAAGAAGAAACAAAATAAAAATGAATGGGGATAGAGAGATAGTTGCCACCAGGGCACGTGAACACCATTGTCAACATCCTCTTATGAAAGATCTTTGCACTTAAGCATGAGCAAAACTAATGAGAAAAGCTGTGAAAATGCAAAAGAAAGATACTGAGATAACAAAGTTATGTCATAAAAATAAAACAATAAAAAATGGGGCAGAGACTTGCAGGGTATAAAAGGGGGAAAATAGAAAGTGTTGAAACTTTACTGGGGATTGAAGATGCCAAGGCAAAGAGAGGTAAACTATTTCATACGAAAAAATGGAACTAGTGTAAGAATCACAACAAGGAAGTGGGCAGAGATGTAAATATAAAGAGTGATAGACATAAAGAAGTTTTATCTAATGGAAAACAAGTACAAGCAAAAGGAGCTTATGGTGACTAAAGGTTTAAAAAGAAAAACACAAAGTGAAACACAGACTTAGAAAGAAATGTAAGTTTCCAAAAAAAAAAAAAGAGAGAGAGAGAATTTGAAAAATTTCTTACCTGCTGTGGTTGTTGGAGAATCAGAAGTTGTGGAGGGGATGGTACTCTGTGTAGTGGTGGAAGAGGTAGTGAGGACAGTAGTGATGGATAATGTGGTGGAAATAGTACTCAGTGTGCTAGGTTTTGTCATGCTTGTTGGAGCCGTGGTGGTGACAAGCTCAGGGATCACTAACATGGAAGTGGCAGAACTTGTTGCAGGTGGGCTGGAGTAAACAGACAAAGACACAGATGAGGTGGTATAAGAATCAATTGTTGAAAAGGTGCTGGATTCTGATGGAGCGGCCACAGAAGTAGTGGTGGCAGCAGTAGATTTGGCAGGTGTACTGGTTTCATTGGAGGTTGGAGCAGATGTGGGGGTGTCACTGATAGTTGCAGAAGGGGTGCTGGTTTTAGTAGGGATGGTTATAGGTGTGGCGGTAGCAGAAATAGTTGTATCAGGAGTGTCTCCTTCTGTAGGAGTTGACAAAGATATGGTGGTGTCACTAATAGTTGTAGAAGGTGAGCTTGCATCTGTAGTGGTGGTCTGAGGTGTAGTGATGTCAGGAACAGTTGTTGCAGAAGTGCCTCCAGCAGAAGTTGATTCAGATATACTGGTGCCACCAATAGTTGTAGCAGATGAAGTTGTCTCAGTAGGAATGGTTCCTGGGGTAGTGGGGTCAGTATCAGTTGTTGCAGATGTGTCTCCAGGAATAGGAGTTGACACAGAGGTGGTGGTGTCCCTAATAGTTGCAAAAGGTGAGCTTGTGTCAGTATACGTGGTCCGAGGTGTGGAGGTGTCAGGGACAGTTGTGGCAGAAGTGGCTTCTGTAGAAGTTGATTCGGCTATAGTAGTATCACCAATAGTTGTAAAAGGTGAGTTTGCGTCAGGAGAGGTGGTCTGAGATATGGTGGATTCAGGAACAGTTGTTGCAGAAGTGCCTCCTGTAGAAGTCGATTCAGATATAGTGGTGACAAGAATACTGGTAGTAGGTGGAGTGGTCTCAGTAGGAGTGATTGTTGGTGCTGTGGTGTCAGTATCAGTTGTTGCAGATGTGTCTGCCGGAGTAGAAGTTGATACAGATGTGGTAAAGTCACCAGTTGTTGTCAAAGGTGAGCTTGAGTCGGTAGCTGCAGTCTCAGCTGTGGTGGTGTCAGGAAGAGTTGTTGAAAAAGTGTCTCCTGTAGAAGATGGTTCAGATATAGTGGTGCCACCAAGAGTAGTAGAAGGTGGGGTGGTCTCAGTAGGAGTGGTTGCTGGTGTGGTGGTGTCAGTGTCAGTTGTTGCAGATGTGTCTCCTGCTGTAGAAGTTGACACAAATGTGGTGGTGTCACCAATAGTTGTAAAAGGTGAGCTTGCGCTGGTAGAGGTAGTATGAGGTGTGGTGATGTCAGGAAACGGTGTTGCAGAAATGCCTACTGCAGAAGTTGATTCAGAGGTACTGGTGTCAGCAGTAGTGGAAGCAGATGTCATGGTCTCAGTAGGAACGGTTGCTGGTGTGGTGGTGTCGGGATCAGTTGTTGCAGAAGTGTCTCCTGATGTAAGAGTTGATGTAGATGTAGTGGTGTGAATAGTAGTAGTAAAAGGCGAGCTTGCATCCGTTGAGGCGGTATGAAGTGTGGTGGATTCAGGAACAGTTGTTGCAGAAATGCCTCCTGCAGAAGTTGACACAGAAGTACTGGTGTCACCAGGAGTGGTAGCAGGTGTGGTG